GCTTCTTCCGTTGCAACTGGGAACCTATAAAGCCAGACAAACGGTCGAGTCGCGCTACTGCCACCGAGAATGTATGAACCAGAAGTTTCGTCCGCGAATCGCCCCGTACAGGCTAACGAGGAGAGCTCGCCGGAGTGTTGCGCCGATTTTTAATGAGACGTTCGCGGATTGCGGTACTCGTCGAGTCGAGAACCTTAGTGCCTCCATTTTCGGGGACCGATGATTCCCGAGATGTTAAAAATTAACGCGGCGCACTCCGTCGCGTCTTGAACGCGGGCCGAATACACAGGAATTTCTACCAGAAATGTTCGCAGTCGGAATCGAAATGCGCAGATCTTGAGAATACAGTGAATTCTCCCTAATTGACGATCAGATTGAGCGCGAAAATAGACAATTTGGGAAGAGGAGACGCGGTTATTCGAGCCTTGCGGCTCGTTTTTATAATTGTTGGCATTCGGTAGTTGCAAAAACGAGTCGCAAGGCTCAAATAATCGTATCTTCTCTTCTCGAATTGTCCACTTTTGTGCACAATCGGTCAATTAGGGAGAATTTAGTGTACTAAGGCGCGCTGAGACACGATTCTTCGAGCTTCGCGGCTCGTTTTTATAATTGTTGGCAATCGGTAGTTGTAAAAACGAGTCGCAAGGCTCAAATAATCGTATCTTCTCTTCTCAAACTGTCCACTTTTGTGCACAATCGGTCAATTAGGGAGAATTTAGTGTACTAAGGCGCGCTGAGACACGATTCTTCGAGCTTCGCGGCTCGTTTTTATAAAAAACACATTGCAATCATATTGTATCGATCTTATTTTATGGATTTTCAATTCTATTGCTGTTAGATCAACATTGATCGTCTCCTTGGACCGAATATGAATGGCTAATAATTATAGTTGACTGCTAAGCAATTGAAATTCAAATGTTTGTTACTTTCGGTCAATTTTCTACTATTCAACTTCAACTATTTCTGGCAATATACTTAGGGCGTCCATCTTGAAATTATTAAGCATCATTTGTAAATTAATAAAAGCTATATTAATACTTATAGTATCATGACCAACAAAAAATATTGCTAATGAAATACGACAATGATCGCCATACTGGTCCCGGTAAAAGCGACGAACAATTTAAACCGGCCATTAAACAATTAAAATTGAATTTCAACATCTGCAACTTTAAATAAAAATAGACAGGAGTATCTTTATTCAGAGAATATATTTTGCTATATATAATATTTGTTATTATAATATTTTGAATAATTTGACAATTTGATGATCATTAGAGTGTTTGCAACTTTAAATAAAAATAGATCAGAGTATTTTTATTCAGAGAATATTTTGCTATATATAATATTTGCTATATAATATTTCGAATAATTTGATAATTTGATGATCATTAGAGTGTTTGCAACTTTAAATAAAAATAGACCGGAGTATCTTTACTCAGAGAATATATTTTGCTATATATAATATTTGCTATATAATATTTTCAATAATTTAATAATTTGATCATTAGAGTGTTTGCAGCTTCAAATAAAAATAGACCGGAGTATCTTTACTCAGAGAATATATTTTGCTATATATAATATTTGCTATTATTTATTCATTAGAGTGTTTGCAACTTTAAATAAAAATAAACCAGAGTATCTTTATTCAGAGAATATTTCGCTATATACATCTATATATATTTATTATATTTGCGATATAATATTTTGAATAATTTGATACTGTGATGATCATTAGAGCGTATTATATGCACTGCTCATCTTCAATCATCGTTATCTTCTAATCCACCGAGTTCTCGCTGTCGTATCCACCGTAGTAGACTAGAATGATTTGGCAAAAACGCTTCCAACGCTTTGTTTGACTAACTTCGTAAAACGGCCGTTCGCATGAGCCGCTCTTTCGCTTTGAACATTTACTTTATTGTATTCCAGATCAACGGCCACTGCGCGGAGCTTCGAATTGCTCGATCTGGTAGAATAAAAAGATGGACATGGGGGCGGGGGAGGCGAGGGCTTAAAATTGGGTCCGGCCGTTAGCGTGTAGCATTTCTATCGACATTTCCACGGTGTTTCGCGATCCGCGAAGCTCTTCTTCTCTGTATTTCCTGGCGAAGTACCCCTTTCCGTTCGATTACGACTTCTGCCCCGTTGCAGGGGATGTCGTGTCCCCTCGTCGTTCGGTGTTCTGTAACGGCTGATTCCGTGTAACACCACCTGGTGCGTCGGCCATATTCCTGCAGACGTGCACATGTACCTCGCGGTGACAACGTATCTTTGATGTTTCTTCAGGCTTTAACTTCGGACGATTCTGACGGTTCCTTGAAATCGGTGGCGAAATCGTGACGAATTTGTTCATCCATTTCCAATGTTACAAGTGCGACTTATTTAATTAGCACTGTAAAAGCGATGCAATCAATTGGTTTCTTGAAAGGTTGCCATTTTATGAAAATATTATTCGGAGGCTGTTTCATGGTGGACGTTTCTCATGGCTGACTTCTTTAACGAGATCATCAGAGGCGGCCATCTTGCAATACTGAATATTAATATCTATAATCCTCGCGACGAGGAGGCACCTTTGTGTTCACATATTTTCACAGAAAACGAATAAAACATAGTTTCATAGCTTTTGTTGATGAGATTATTGTTGATAATACTGTTCTATTTAATTATTATATTATAGAAATTATTAAAATATCTACTCTTTATTATTATTGTTATTTATTATCTATTATTATTATTATTATTATTATTATTATTATTATTATTATTATTATTGTTATTTATTATCTATTATTATTATTATTATTATTATTGTTATTTATGATCTATTATTATTATTATTGTTGTTATTTATTATCTATTATTATTCTTATTATTATTATTATTGTTATTTATTATCTATTATTATTATTATTAATATGTATTATTAAAATAGCTATTAAAATATCAACACAAACTACACTAATTTCCACGCACAATATCTTGACACCCATAACACTTTGAATCGCCTCTCACTTCTGCCACAACTAAAGAAAAACAAGCCAACAGTTACGAAATAACAATTAATCGAAAACAGATTGAATTAAAATAGCGATCGCTTGCGCTAACCGTAATAAAAATGCAGTACAAAACTGCGATATCGCCTTCAAAATGGATCGTTCCCGTAAAAACACATGGATCCACGCAAATGTCGCTTAAATCGTGTGCTCGCAAAAATGGTCGATTAAGTTTTTGTAACGTCCTCGCGTAAACGTAATCTCGGCAGCGTGTTCGTTCATTGTTGCTGCTGGAACGGCATGGAAAATGTGTTTCACACTATCGCGACCGAAATGGGACGCATTTCGATAACTACCTCCAGTCGAGTCATGTTCGAATCGTGCCCGGAATCGGCGCGACGCTCAAGAAACGTTCGAAGCGGGGGCTAATAATAGCGCGCCGAACGGTTCGCATTGTGCCGGCATTATTATTATTGGCATTATTATTATTATTATTATTATTATTATTATTATTATTATTATTATTATTATTATTATTATTATTATTATTACTATTATTATGTGAACACAGGATCAGACTGGAACAGATTTTTCATCCTATTTCCGCTGGATCCTCCGGGCACCTGGCTATCCACGCGTCGAAAGTATCGACGATTACCTCTCGGCGCGATGGTAGAACGCCGACGATTTTTCGTCTTTGTCCGAGCCGTCGGTCGGCCGTCCGCTTCCGTGGACTTCTTCATGAAGAAGAATAGCCGGGAATTTTTGGCCGGAAACGAGCGACAAAGTCGAAAGGGAGATAAAGAGGAGCGCGTCGTCGCCGTCCGTGAAATGATCCGTGATTAATGGAGGAGAATGATATCAGCGTTTTTTATCGCGAATGATTCCGATTCTCGCTGATGGAAAATGTAACGAAAGGTGACGCCCGCGACGGCTGTAATTCTCTTCGCTTAATCAACGACGACGATGATCTATTCGGACGTTTATTATTTTTATTAGCGCGCCTCGGGGCGGCATGTTCGTCCTGTTGCGAGCTGCGATCTGCGACTCCTCGAGGAAGCTGCATCGTTTATTGCTTGGACCGTGTGCATGTAATAATTGACGCGGCACGTATATAGTGCACGTACAGAAACGATTAGTATTAATTATTATGGTCAATTATTATAGCAAATTATTATAGTCATTCATATCAATTCATATCAATTCATATCAATTATATAGTATTATATATAAAATTATTATAGTCATATATAGTCATTTAATTATTGTTATGTTTGTAATAATTATTTTATTATATTGCATTATATAATTATAACCATTATAGTTAATTATTATATTAACTAGAATAAATTATAGAAAAATAATGACGGATTGTAATTACGCATTCATAACAAAAATGAATGGATCGAATATGATTCAGTAGACACATTTGAATAATTTCAAGACACTATTAAATTATTTCCAACTCAACGAAATCGAAGAAAGAAAGAAAATGAATACATCAAATATAATCCAGTGAACACACATGAATAATTTCACAACACTATTACACTATTTTCAAGTCAACAAAATCGAAGAAAGAAAGAAAATGAATACATCAAATATATAATCCAGTAAACACATACGAATAATCTCAAAACGCTATTAAATTATTTTTGCAACTCAACAAAATCAAAGAAAGAAACAAACAAAGATGTAGCTTCTGTATCTTGAAATTACCGCAAGCAAATTTTGTTAAACACAGAAAACAGCAGTCTAATTATAACTGAAGTATAAAAGTTTAACTAAACTATTTCCACAGTTATCGAACATTGAATTCGAAAAAACCACTTCCGTCGCAAATCATTAGATTTATCGCAGCAAAACTGACCCAAAAATCCTTTCGTACATTTCAATGCACATACGATAACCGCATAATAAATTACATACCAGCGTAACATAAACAACGAGCAAATCGTTTCCTAATTTTCTATTTTCATTGAATTAAACGTAACGAATGTTTACCTGAGAGTTCCACAGGTGCGGCGATTCCCGGATGGTCGCCCAGTAAACGCCGTCGGATCGTCACTCGCGAAATATATCTCCAGCATCCGGAATTAACGCTCGAATATCCTGCAGGAACTCCGGCCGACGTTAGACCCGAGAGAACAGGTTCGAACATTCACGCGGGCGGCTGAAGAAGCATTCCCGACTGCAACGATTTCAACACCGCCGACTCTTATTATCGGCAATTAAATTCGGTATATCCCGCGACAGCCGAAACAGCCGGCCACCAGCTCGACCTCGAGATCCTCGCCCCTGGATTACCCGCGGTACCACCTCGGAATCAACCCCCCGGAAACTAATCGGTCACCCCTTCCCTTGCTTCATCATCGCCGAAAAACATCGGAGCTCACTCAACACCGGCGGCGGAAGCAGTTCCGCTGAAACCTCGCCAGCAAGTTCGAAACCGACTACCCTTCACAACCTTGACAAACCCCGAACGCGACACTTCCCGCGGCAGCTGAAACGCGTTAGCTCGAACCAGTTCAACACTCGTCGCATTTCATGAGAGACGTGCTTCACGAAGTCTCCATTAATTGGCACTCGCGGGTCCCAAAGTGCCGTTCACCGTTCAAACAGACGTCTCTCTTTCTCTCTCACCGCAGACTTCCGGGTGTTCGATCGAGCAGCGGGACGAACAGTGGTCGATCTCTCTGGAGGAGGATCTGTTCGGAGGGTGTTTCCCGAATCAGCGATCGCGGGACACCAGGACCGGATAAACAGGCAGCTTATTCGGCATGCAGCCGCGGCCAAAGCGCATCGGCGAGATGGCCAATGGAGAGTCCGCCGTGATCCCTATTCTCCGCGGGATCGCCTAAACTGTGCCACGTATCCCGGGGACCGCCTCACCAACACCACCCCCGTCGAGACTTCGCCGAAATCTTCGGGAAGTCGGGGTTGAACGGCCGGGCGGCGGGATCGGGGAACATCGAGGGGGGGCCTGTCCATCAATCAGGGCATGGACGGGAGCCGGCTCGCGGGGGTGGCTCGGGGACGCGGCGACGATCGGCGGGTTTCGGGGATGATTGCCGCCGGGAATGATCGCGGGAGCCACGTGCCGCTAACGACTCCGGTTCGAGAGACTTGTTACGGATCGATCCGGAGCGCGACCCTCTTCCGACTGGGGATCGGCGCGCACAGGGAATCGCGGGTTTACCTGGCGTTCCCGTTTCTCGACTTTGTCCTGCCGTGCGGGATTACGTTTTGTTTACATCGCGGTAGCGACCCGTCGAGAGGAGGCGAGATCCGCGCGAGCTGACAGGACGAAGCCCCGCGTCGTGCGAACGGCTTGCGAGGCCGCAGTGAACTGTGGTCGGAACTCGCAGCTTTCCCGCTTTCCGCCACCCTTCGACCGCTCGCTCTGGCGGCAGCACCGGGGGTGTCTGCACCTTGCGTCCCCTGCGCGGACGCCACCCATGAACGCCCACCAACGGGAAGACGATACCGCTCTGCCGGTGGGATAGCTTTCCTGGCGAGGCTGCTAAGGGGGATCCGAGCTCCCGACGAAAAGGAATCGTGGACGGAGTTTGTCTGAAAATTGTACGATTTTTGTTTGTTTGGAGAAGATCGTATCGGGGTGTCCTAGGCGATGCGCCAGTTTTTAACACTGGATTTACGGTACCCGTCAATATGGCGGGTCACTAATTTTTTAATTTACGATTATTCATGTTTATGAGTTATTCATATATTTTATATATATATATATTACATATTATTATATATATATTATTATATATAATATTATTATAATAATATTACAATATATAATATTATTATAATAATATTACAATATTATATAATATATAATATTGTTTATAATAATATTATATATTACATATTATTATAATAATATATAATATTGTAATATAATATTATATTATATACACTAATAAGTATATATTATATACTTATTATTATATATTTATACTTATTATATCATACTTACATATATTTATATATGTACATATACATATATTCATATATTCTCATTTATGAGTTATTTATTCAATTTACATGTTACTCACGGCAAATACTACAATAACACTTGTTAAAAATCAGAATAAATGTCTTACTATTACTTTTATAAGCTAACATAAAACAGCTGTATTTTGCGCTCCGTAAATCTAGCGTTAACTATGATAATGACTCGATTTCTATGGCTTTGGATCAGCGGCTTATGTCAAGATTATGTCTTAAAAATATTTCTTGACGAAAATTGATAAATTCTCCCTAATTGACATTCAAATTGTACACAAGAATGAATAATCGTATCTCCTCTTCCCAAATCGTTCACTTTTGTGCACAATTTGATCGCAAATTAGGGTGAAATTACTGTAAAATCTAAGCGTCGATTAATCAAGCTTGCCAATCAATGTTCGCCAACGATCAATCATTCTCGAAACTTGCGTATACCATAAATGCATAAAGATCCGCATTCTAGTGATCGTTTTCGTCGCCATTTTCACCCGTGGAGAAAAGTGATAGAGTTTAATCAGATGGTAACGTTGACTCAACTTAACGACATTAACGAAACGTTAAGTCCACGAATTAACTTAAGGCCAATTAACTTCTTCGTACTTATTTGCAGGAAATACTGGAAGATAATGTTTCGGGTTGTCGCTTACGGCCCGCGGCGACCATTTTGGTGCGAGGGTCAGTCCGAGCGACGGCTTTTTATTGGTTTCGAGTGCGTGCTACGTTTCTTTTTATGGAAGACCTTAGGGGTCCCTCGGATTGCCCGGGGATGCCTGAAATCTTTATCTATTTTGCTCGGTATTTTTTCGGCGTGTCCCTTGCAAACGAACAACTTCTGCTTACAGGTTCGAAGGGGAGGTGAAAGGGGCAATCTTTAGGACGATGCTGTAATTTGTTACACGATCGTGTTACTTCCATCTATCTGGGACCGTCTTCGGCAGTCCGTTCCAATTTATTCTTAAAGAAATACACGGCTTTCCTTTTCTGGGCTGATTGATACAGGAATTCTTTCCTTTCGTTTCAGTATATATCAATTTGCTTGTGCTGCGGGGAACAATGGTTCACGATCAAAAGCTTCCGGATCGAAGGAATTATTCGCGTCGTGTGACAAATGTTTAACAAAAGGAAGACGATCGTTGTATAACAGCCGATCTGCTGGAAATATAATATTTATGAGAAACGTGTATAATGTTTCCGGTAATTGGGCCGTTTGAAATTTATTTTTCAATGTCCCTTGTTTTCATAAAATGAGGCGAGTTATAAATAGACAGCGGATTTTATGTATTATATTATATTATTATATATTTATATATATATTATATTATATTATATATTATATATATTATATATATTATATATTATATATTATATATTATATATTATATATTATATATTATATATTATATTATATAT